ACATACGTACATACATGCATACATGCATGTATGCATGCATACATGCATGCATACATGCATACATACATACATGTCTACCTACATACATACATACATACATCAATACATACATACATACATGCATGCATACATACATACATACATACATACATACATACATACATGCATACATACATGCATACATACATACATACACACATACATACATACATACATACATACATGCATACAAACATATATACATGCATGCATGCATGCATACATACATACATACGTACATGCATACGTACATACATACATGCATGCATACATGCATGCATGTATGCATACATGCATGTATGCATACATGCATACATGCATGTATGCATGCATGCATGCATGCATACACATGTACATATGCATGTACATATATATATATATATATTGATGTCTCTCTATCTCTCTCTCTCTCTCTCTCACTATCTCTATGCATACGCGTTGGATTTCCTGCTATACATCTGTTTATATCGGCCGCCGACGAGCAAGAGCAGCATCGAGACGGACGCCAAGCTGGCGCAAGGACAGAAAAAGTAGAAAGACGCTCCCAGCCTGGAGTTCCTCCTCCTCCTTCTTCTCCTCCTCCTTCTCGTCTTCCTCCTCCTCCTCCTCCTCCCTCATCCTCCTCCTCCTCCTCCTCCCTAGCACGCGACCTGGCCCCCGCCAGAGCGCCCTGCCTGCTGAGAGCACGCCACAACTCTCGCGGGGGCGGCGGCGCAGGCGCTGCCCCGCGGATCGAACTTGAATCCGTCCAGGGTCAGCGGGTTGGTGACGTAGTGCTGGCCTCGTCTTACAGCGGGCCGATCGTGGGCAAGACCGGGGCACGGACTCCTCGAAGAAGACAGCTGGGTCCGTGGGGGGCCTCTGCTTCCTTCCGCTGGCTTCGGCTGCCGATCTCCGCCAGGATACGAGACCCTCGCGAGCGGCTGCCGCCACCACGCGTTGGAGCCCGTGCGCCGGTGCCTGCAGGGGAGGAGGCGTCAGCCTGGCATTCCTCCAAGGAGCTCATCTCTGGAGCTTTTGGGCCAGAAAGATCGGCAGCCCATCCGCGCGAGGAAGATGAGGAGAATGATTCCGACTCCTCCCGCCCTCATCCTCGTCTTCCTGCTTGCCCTCCTGCTCCTCCTCCTCCTCCTCCTCCTCCTCCTCCTCCTCCTCCTCCTCCTCCTCCTCCTGCTCCCCCTCCTCCTCCTCCTCCTCCTCCTCCTCCTCCTCCCTCCTCCTCCTCCTCCTACTCCCCCTCCCCCTCCGCATCCTCCTCCTCCTCCTCCTCCTCCTCCTCCTCATCATCATCATCATCATCATCCTCATCATCATCTTTCTCCTCCTCCTCCTCGTCTCATCATCCTCCACCTCCTTCCTGCGGCGAGGGGGCCGCCGAGGAGGACGATGCCACGGACGAGGACGAGGAGGACGCGGACCAAGACGACGACGACGAGGACTAGAACGACGACGGCGACTGCGATGGCGACGGCGACGACGACGACGACGACGACGACCATGTCAGCGATGACGACGACGACGACGACGACGACGACGATGACGACGACGGCGACGGCGACGGCAACGGCGACGGCGACGGCGACGGCGACCACGACGACGACGACCATGTCAGCGACGACGACGACGACGACCGACGACGACGACGACGACGACGACGACGACGACCACGACGACGACCACGACGACGACGACGCCGACGACGACGACGACGACGACAACGACGGCGGCGGCGGCGGCGGCGACGACGATCATGTCGCCGAGGCCCCGGCAGACGTACCGCGTGTGCGAGGCGGCGCCCCGCGAGGCCAGGGCGACCTCGAGGTCCGCGCGGGTGCGGACTGGCGCGGGGGCGCGCGCGCCGGCCGAAGAGCACTGGCAGCTATGTGATGCGGCATCTGCGGCCGACGGCACCAGGACAAGTAGACAAGATGGGGAGGAGGAGGAGGAGGAGGAGGAGGAGGAGACAAGGAGAAAGGGACGGAGGGATGAAAGGAGGGAGCCAGGAAGAACGGAGGAGCGGGACGAAGGAGAGGGAGAGGAGGAGGACGAGGTTGAGGAGAAAGACGAGGAGGCGGCGAGAGCAGGGATGAGAAGGATGGTTTGAGAGCGTCCTCATCCCTCGTGCCTTCTCCCGCTGCCTCGTTCTCCCCCTCTGTTTCGGCATCATCCTGCTCGTCCACATCTTCCCGTTCCCTCCTCCTCCTCCTCCTGCTCCGAATACATTATTCATGTTCCTCATCAGAACATCGTCCTCGCTCTCCATGCCCCTGATGTTTCCTCTTCGTCCTCATCATCGGCCTCGTTCGCCCCCTCATGATTCTCATCATGATCCCCACCGGCATCGCCCCATCACCAGATTCACCCTCCTCATCACCCTCCTCGTCTTTGACCTGCTGCCCATTACTCCTCCTCAGCACGACTCCCGGTTCCCTCCCTCCGACTCCGCATCCTCGCCCTCCTACCCCTTCTATGCTGTCAGCGGTTCGTTAATGGTCCCAGAACGGAGCCTTGGTCAGCTGGATCCTGAGTTCAGCTCAGATGGGACCACGAGCAAGCCACTGCTGTGACAGCTACGAGCAGGGCTCGTGAGACAGAGTGGACCAGATGATGCTACTCGAACAGCCCCCGCTCCCCATCATAGAGCAAAGAATGGGGAGGTTGTTGTTCGCCCATGGCTAGCTCAAGAACAAGCTTAATGCCAGGGCCGACCTGACGCACGAGTAAAGGTAGGGGCCTCAGTCGAGCTCCCTGCCTTCGGGTGGTGCCAGACGCTCATCCGCAGGGTCATGCGCCCCGAGACTCCCCCTGCACGCTTTGTGCAATCGGCTATCACGACGGCTCCGAAGTAGCGAGACGCGGCCTCGACCAGGCCCTTCTGCCGCTGCCGCTCCTGGAAGCTTGGCTTCGCGACGGCGCGGGGGATGGGCATGGGCGGACGGAAGAGGCGGGAGCACGCTAGGCCTGGGCCCACCACTCTGTCGGGAGCTCCTCCTCCTCCTCCTCCTCCTCCTCCTCCTCCTCCTCCTTCAACTCCTCCTCATCCTCCTCCTCCGGCAGGCGTGGCAACATGGACGGGCTAGCTGCATGGGCGGGCCGGCACCATGGTCCCGCCCCAGCTTCCGGCTGCCCCAGACGGCCAGCCTCTCTCGGCAACTACGTCGCTATCCCCAGGCGACCTCGATCAGCGAAAACTGGCCACTGCGCAACTACAAAAGTTGCCGAGCTTGCAGAACGCATGAGGCCACCATCCGCCGCGATGGC